GAATGTCAACTGTGCACTTCTGCACAGAGGCAGGGCGGACGGCGCAAGCTGAGGGAAACCAGTCCCTTCTGCTTCTGCTCTTCCAGTGCGTACTGGCCTGGAAAACCTCCGCCCTTTACTAAGTCACATTTCTTTGGCAGTTCCCAACGGTGAAATCACCAAGAACAAAGGCTTTAACGCAGGTGTCAGCTTTGCCACAAATCTGGGAATGGGACTCAGGCCTCTTCCCTCTTCTGGAAGGGACAAGCAAGGTAAGAGCATTTAAGATCTAGAAAGTATTTCCATGTCTCTGCAATGTATAGACGGCTTTCTATTTGCAAGACACTTCTTGTAAATGGAGCCTCTCCCAGAACAGCACACTTCCCACTCCTTGTGACTATGTCGTCACAACGTGTTTCTTCTTCCTTTTCCCATCCATTTGAGGTCGGTCAGGTTGCCGCTTAAGCTGAGTCAGGCCCTGGGTGCTCCAGTGAACAAAACCAACTGTCCTGACCCTGCCCTGGTGACCTAATGAAAGGGTTGCTTTAGCACATGTGACACGGGCCCCCCCACACACCAGGTTACTCAGCGATGCAAGCACTGACCTCGAGTGCCACCAGAGCTTTCTGTTCACGACCCTGGCCCTTGCTGTAAATAGCAAAGCTAGGAATGCTGTTTCTCAGGCCTGGATGTGCCTAGCAGAAAAGGTTGAGAGCAGGGTCTGGACCATTGGTGGCCCCTGCTCCTGAAGGACAAAGGCCAGCACTTGACCAAATGTGTGATTGACAACTGAAAGAAGCACCGAGCACACTGACCTCAACAGAACACGGTTCGGAAGGAAGTCTTGCTACCTGGAGCCAGCAGTTCGCGGGCACTTTATAGCAGTGATCGCCTCAGAGCTCTTTGACACTCCAGCTATTAAAAATTCATGTGGCAGACTCAGCTTTAGTCTGTGGTTCCTTTTGTTTGAACTTTTCCTAGTCAGTTTCTTACGTTCCAATAAGTCTGTCCCCTATTGGGTAGCATCTGTAAAATTTGCCACGGGTTCTCAGGTGAATGGAGGCCTGAGGGGTCCTGAAATAGAGGCCTCTGAGAGCTGGCTCCAGCTCCCATGGAGTCTGGGATTCTCACTAGATCCACGAAGACAAAGGAATACGAGTCGGTTAGGGAGAGGAAACAAGACTTAAACTGAGAAACGGGAAATCTGCCAAGCTGTGGGCCCCGGGCTTCTGCCTCGTGAAGAATGCAAGACAGGAAGTGGGTGTCCAGAAGACAAAGAGATGGAGAGAGGGCAGCAAGGTGGCCACTTGCCAGCATTCCAGCCTCGGGTCTCCGTGCCAGTTCCTTTGCCTTGCCTACAGACTTGCTTCAAGCATGTGACTCAGCCCCCTGGATTTTCCGGGGTGCAGCATGTGCAGCATGTTATAACCTTCATAGATGAAGCAGAAACCTGATTTCAAAATGGAGGTTAAGGACTTGCTAGTACAGGAAGGCACAGTCCTGGCCTCTAAGGTGACAAAGCATTATCGGAATGAGTCATGTCCTTGCCAGCTTGACGGTAGCAGACAGTGCTGCCTTCCCCAAGGCTGTCAGCAAGGTGGGCCAGGAGCCCCAGCCTACCCAGCGGCTCTGCAGATGGAGAAACACCTGGGCCCCACTCACCCCACCTTCCTCACCCCTCACTGTCACCTTCCACTGCCCTGGCTCTCTCAACGGTCACTGGTGCACTTGGGGCCTGCACTGATTGTCACCTAGTGGGTCTCCCTACCGCCATCCGGCTCTCACCATGGTCCCTCTGAGCTGTTTATCCAGCAGTCCCACCCCTCCATTCCCCTCCCCCTTGCCGCTGTGGCCCTGGAGCAGGGAGATGGCCTGGGCTAGGGGATGAGAAGAACTGACGGAACGTGCTGCCATGCTGGACGCAGAGGGTGGGACGAAGACACTCCGTGGCTCTTAATGAACAATTAATTGTCAAAACTGAGATAATAGAGGAGAAGAGTTCTTTTTTAGCCAGTAGAGCAGCTAAAACTAAAAAAACTGGGAGTCTTAAACACAGAAATGGTATTTAAAGCCTTGGGGAATGTACAAGACGGTCTCAACAGTGAGAGGTAGGAAAATTGCTCCCATCACGTGTGTGTGAAAGCATCTGTTAGCATTTATCCCTCACATAGCCACATGTGACCTTGGGTTAGTGACAGAGCCCCTCTGAGCCTTAATTTCTTAATCTGAAATGGGGATAAAGGTACCTTATTTTAAAGTATTAAATAAATATTAAGTACTACTAAAATTCTGGCCTATTGAGTTCATGGATTCCATACACTATTTACCAGTCTTCATGGACTTAGAATACAATTAAAATAATCAGATTTAAACAAATACATCTGTATCATTCAAACGACCACAGCTTCTACAACGCTTCAGGTCATCACTGAGGAAACTGGTTATCTATCGCTCCATGTTTGAGGGGTGAAGGGAGAGGGCTGGCACTGAATCTCAGTCTAGACTTTCCAAACAAGTGGATTCTGCAGAGACAACTGGCTCTTCACCAGACGCTGAACCCAGTCCAGGGTCTTGACATCTTGCTGTAACACGCTGAAGAACTTAGTACAAAGCGGGGATGATGGTCAAGTGCGTGTAGATGTTTCCCACATCGGTGTGTCCTGGGACATATGGGCAGTCCGTCTACCGCCTCAGTTCTGCTGAGAAGGCCCCAGCCAGTGCGTGCACCCTGGTCGGGTTTAAGGAACAGCCTCCCAGAGTCCTTAGCGCCTTCTCTCAGCCTTTCTTAACAGGTCAGTTTAGGCCAATTAAGGTGGGTTTGCAACCCAGACTGAGCAGAATGCTCACAACAGAAGCCTGAGCCTGCAGGAGGTCCTGAGCTTGCTCTTGCAGTTACTCAACTGGAATAGGTTCCACGAATTAGATCCTTAACATGTTGGTGGCTTAACGCCAAGAGTATCGACTTCTAACACATTTCTGCAAACAAATGATATTTTTTCTATACTTCTGATCTTTTCCCATAATAAATGCTACCTCTGCCCTCTTTTACTTTGGTGTACTTCAGAGCTCTGCTGCGTGTTTTGAGTGAAAAGGTCACTGCTACACTGAGAAGCTACCTTATCAGTCATCGGAGGGCCTGTGTTAGTCCTCAGTCTTTAGGTTGTTCTTGAACACAGTTGGATCCAAAGACTGAATGGGCTAAACTCCCAGCCTATTTAAAAATAGAGAGTAGTGTCATTCTAAGCTACTTGGCTCAGGTTGGTCCACAAGACAGGAGAGGGACAGGAGCCAAGCCAAGGGCAAGAGTGGACTTGAACACAGCATTCTGACAGCATTCTGAGGATTCTATATCCCTTGAGCCAAGGTACCACTGATGAAGTAGATTAATAGCTGCTTGAAAGACGCTATCCCGAATGAGCAGAGGAACGGCCTGATGGTAACCGGGGGAGGGGATAGCCCTGACGGTTGTCCTCAGCCTGGCCCTATCCAAGCTTACTCTCGATAATGTGGCTGAAGACACAACCCCCAGGCCTAGCAAATTTGAAGAGGACATGAAGGAAAGAGAAGGAATGTAACCGTGATCCAAAGAGAGCTCAGAGGGCTAAGACGGGGTCAAATCCAACACAGGGAAAGGTGATGGTGAGAGCCTCAGCGAGCGAGTGACAGCCAGACA